TCATAGCTCGATCATCAGCAGCCACTGTCCATGATGGTACCTGTCTGTGCAGCTGAGGTAAGCTTGGACAAGTGGGGCCCAGATGCATTGTGCACAAACATACAAGGGCGCACCCAGGGGCCATATAGTGGCAGCATATGTAAGGCGGCTCGATTTGATGCTTGACATTGCAATCGAGAACGAAAAACACAAATATGGCCGAAGCAACATAAAAACATCCGAACCCCAATTTGTGGTACAAACAAACAAATAACATCACAAACATACTCCGGACCGAAATAAACATAGCGAAAGAACCTCCAGGTATATACACACACACACACCCTGTACATCCATACCGACGTACGTACGTGCATACATACATGCACGTAGTAAACGCGCAGTAGGCATGTATACAAAGGTAGACTCTCACAAAGGTGCGGAAAGCGAACGGACAATTACATCATTTTACAAAGACTGCAAAAGCTGCACCGAACCCAAAAGCACAGACCCACAAAGTCGTTGAGCAATCAGCGGGGAAACATTTCAAGTCAACAAGTCCCTCGATGTGACCTCTGCTAAGGGATCTGGGAGAGGTCTTGGGTTTGGGACTCAGTCACGAGTAACCCCAACCCGTGCAGGCCAACAGAAAGCTGCAACAGAAAGGTCACAGATTGTCTCCAGGAGCCCCAGCATGCCTCGTGTTCATGGTTTGATTCCTGGACGCCCGAACCAAAATCCCAACTGCCTCAAGCCACTCCGCGACGGAAACCGCAACGTTTAACGCCTAATCAAATGTAGAAGCTTGAAAGCCGCTCATGTTTTGCTTTTGGGACAGCGACACTGGGCTGTGCAAGACCAAGACCAACAAACTCATTTGAGGCGTCCATGTTCACTTCGTCCGAACGGTGTCGCAAATTTAGGGCACTGAAACCTTCACCGGGCTGTCTGTCTGCGAACCTCGGACGACCCTAATGGCCCTAATAGCCGCCCTGTCTTCCGGGGCCCCGGCTTAAGTTCCAACAAACGGACTCCCTTGGTGCGGTGTAGGTCGAGCGAGCGAGTCAGCATTCAGGTGTCTAGAGACGTCGGATTGGTCAGTGGCAAATGCAACTAGTGAGAACAATCCAAACCTTGGGTGTCGGTGTAGGGTTTAGGGTTCATCTCAGGTCCTTTTCAGTTCAAGCGGGGAAGTTGTCCCTGAACTCTGACCACAGCTGTAGCTCTCTGAAGTTGCAACACGCCTTTAGGATTTCCGACCCCAGAAGAGAAGCTTACATCCTGCATAAAGACAATATCAAAAACCTGAGCCAACACAACCACGTCGGTGGGACATTCACCTTCCGGACAAGGCTTGTGCGGGGGAATTGGACATCTGAGCACCGCAACCCAGAGAAGGCTTAATGCAGGGCCTCAATATTTAGAATAAGGGTTGGAACCCTCCCCTCCCAAAACCCTGTTCTAATTGATTCCTCTAGCATGACCCCCCCCCCCCTCCCCACAACCTGATATTCAAGCCTGACCTAGAACGCCCGAAACCCACACCTAGTATCCGGAACCCTAGAAAGAGATCCACTTGTTCACGTCTGAATCCCAGAACCCAATCCTTAAAACTCCTCACATCCCTATTATCTATACACTCTTTAGAACCATAATAAACATTCCATTTTTAATATTCCCTCGAGTTTTACATGAACAAATATGTAAAGACATAGTTCCTAAGGATACTACATTATTCCCAGAGCCTTCAATCTGCACGCCAAGGTGCGCCGAGCAGGTGGCGTAGCTTTCCGGCCTCGGAGGCTTCAAAAGCTTGGGTTCAAGGGTTTTGTTTTTGTGGGCTTTTGGCTTTTTGGGGTTTGGGTTTAGGGTTTGGGGTTTGGGGTTCAGGATTTAGGGCCAGGGTTTTGGCTTTTTGGGGTTAGGGTCTTGGGTTGAGCATTTAGGCTCTGGCCTTCAAGAGTTTTAAAATTTCGGGTTCGAGGGGTTAAGGTTGTGAATCTGGCGGTTCTTTAGGGTCCAGGGAAGGCGTTTGGGGTTTCGGGATTTGTTTAGGTACTCAGCCGTAGTAGCTACCAAGGTGGAGTAGGCCCAAGCTTACAATCTAGCGTGCTGGGCGTACAGGAAAGCCCCTGCGAAATGCTAGCAAAATGTAGCGCGTCGGACTCGAGTGGGCCATGGTCTGTTTTGCTTACATGGTTCATGTCATCCAGAGACGGTGCCTGGACGTCAAAAGATGCCGAGGACTGGAGAGACCGGGAAGCCAACGCCAGCCGAAACTTATTGCTGGTATCAGAGTCTGCTTGAAGCTGTGCTCCCTTAAGGTTCAACCCGACGAAGCTCGGAACTCGGTCAGCAAGTGACCTGACTGCCTGCCCTCAAAGTCAGCACCAGATGCTGTTGTGGGATACACCGTACTCTAGCTATAAAGGGATGAAGAAGCACAGTACGGTTGCAGCTTAGCGCTTGCAAGTTTAGCCTGCGCCGGCAGGTCCAGGTCTACACTTCTCCGACTCCACAGCTGTACCTCACCGAAGATACCTTTGCTCCAGGAAACCATCAGAAGGCCCATGATCGCTGCAGTACAACTCTTCAGACTTCGGACATCTGCAGCCGAGCCTCGCCTGAAGCATCCTCTCGTGTTTTCAAACTCCAAGTGAGGAACACACAAGAGAAACATATTCTGATCCTGAAACCCTACTGTAAACCCCAAATGCTAAACCCTAAATCCTGTCTGCCTCTATGACAGATGTACCCTTGCTGGCTATCCCTGAGGCTCCTGACCGTGCCGCCCACGGCACATCCTTCCGAAAGAAATGGCGGGCGTTGTGTAGAGACGGTTCGAAGGCTTTCGGAATCGGTTCCTTTGCTTTTCCCCCTTGGTTCGGCCGAGAGTCACGGGCTTCTCAAAGTGGCGTAGCTGTGATCATCAAACAAGGTAGGGGGGGGGGGGTACTCTATCCATGTCGGTTCACCAAGATCTGGGATGCCAGGAACATGTTAAAGACATGGGTTCCGCTTCTCTCGAGTGCCGTGCCCGCTGAGGTGCTTTAATACTATGGGGCATCGCTAACTTGCAGCACCACTACATCTGAACCCCCCTGAAGCCAACCAGAAGCTGGTCCTGCTGGAAACAACCTGGTGATGACGAATGTATACGTGCTGGTCCTGCTGGAAACAACCTGGTGATGACGAATGTATACGTGCAAGGGCTCAGGTTTACGCGGATTGTAATCGTCATCATCATCCCATCTGCAATCATCACGAGCCAGAATCAAGGGCACAATCTCTCAGGAAGCTGCAAAATCTGAGAATCGAGTGGCTTCGCTTTGCGCACCCAGAGTCTGGTGATTTTCCTAAAATCGACTTAGAGTTTAGGCTTTACCCTAGACCTAGACCCCAAACCTATGGCTGGAATGACATCCGACTTCTCTGCGGTACAAGTGACATGGTCGACGAGTGGTTCTGGAGTGTCTCGAATTGGTCTCTTGGGGTGGTCTCGAATTGATCTCTTGGAGTGGTCATATAGTGGTTCTCTGTGGTATGAGATGTGGGCTGACAGATCCATCGATGCGCCCTGGACCCCAACCAGCCTGTGGTCTGGTGGCCACGAGTCCAATGATAGGGATCAAGACGACGCCTCGACTCAACGCAAATGACTTCAAAAGGGCGTAGAGTTGCTGTCGAAACTTAATGATCAGAAACTGCTTCCCTGCTTTGCTACCTGTAGAGGCTCCAAAATCATTCAGTGGGGGCTAGAGCATCGGTGATGGACCTTGCACCTTCAGGCTTGTCCTTGATGGGGTTCGGGTGCAGAGAACTAGCATGTAGATGTGCGAGTGTGAATTTCGGCATGTACCGGGTTCAACAAACAAGTTGGAGAATGCCATGCAGAGTGTGTGAGTGAGTGAAGCCACAAACAGGTTTCAAGGTCGACTTATGTACTAGGGGCCAAAAAAAGCACATAAGCATAAGCATTTTATGGGGATATCCCTACCACAGTGGGCTTCATTATAAGAGGGTTTATATGGGATATCCCTATCCGAATTTTTGCTTATGTGCTTTTTTGGGGCCCTATTATGAAAACCAAACCGCGGCATCCTCGACCACCGTCTGAGAGACTGCATCGTGCTGCGGCTCTTCAGCTCACGCCCTGAACCTCCACAGTTACATGCGACTGCACGGAGCCTGACTCCTCGGCAACGTGACGCCTTGGGAAGCTTGCGAGTCCTCTACCCAAACCTCGAATCCCGGATGCTCGAACCTTGCGCATCCTTGTGCCATCGACCCTGTGTCCGAAGTCCAAAATCCGACAACCCGTCCCCGGGGCCTTCACTCCACCCGAAAACATCCTGATTCCTGCTCTTCACGGAACCTCAGTTCATCATAAACTTGAACCCAAGCTGCTCGACACAACGCTGCCGAAGTCCAGCCGAACCTGCAAATGCGAATGTTTGTGCATACGTGTTGCAGGTTGGCCAAGTAACCAAGTACTTCTGTGTTTATGCACAGCCGAAGGCTCATAAATACCAAATACTCATGGGGGACAGAGGGTAGGGTCTGGCGACAGCGAGACGGCAGCAGCACGAAGGACCATCGACGCTGTCGGTGGGGCGTGTTGCTCGAAAGCAAGCGATTGCGAAAGGGTCTGGAGCCTGTAGACGATTGCCACAGGCCGTTGTGTCAGGTGTCACTAGTTTTAACCTGATTAAAGGAAAGCCTTAGGTTCACCTCTTGAGCCACTTCTGGGTAGGTGCTATACATAGCCGACAGGCCGGTTATGTACTGTGCCGGCATGTCAACGTCCACATAAGGGGTCTGTTGATCTCGTTGTCCACATCGTTGGTTATACATGGTGCAGCGCTGCTAGGCCCCCCCTCCCCCCCCCACCCCATGGTATCCCCCCTCCCCCCCTGTGGTTTTGTGTGGTGTGGGTTCCCCGCTGCCCCTCCCCCCTGTGGTTGCGTTCCCCCTTCCATGGCCATTGCTGGTTGGGTGTCCGGTTGCTAAGAGTTTGGACCTTAGGATGTGATACAGTTCCACTGCACTCCAGCTCCAAAGCCAATGATAGTGATGAATATGATGGTAATGATGATGACGAAGATGGTGGTCATGATCCCCATCCGCACTCTCCTCCGGTCCCTTGCTCAAGAGTCCCGAATGAGAATCATTCCAAAACGTGATCAAGCTTACTTTTAGCGAACCCAACCGAGACTGGGCTTGCAATGACAAAGATCGATACAGTTTTCGCAAGAACATCACAAGCCAAGCAAATGAACATGCTTTGCCGAAGCCCAGAGCAACATAAGAGCAAAGGTGCCGCCAACAGTCACACTGGGCATAGCACATCAACATCATTGTGCGCAACATCATCCCCATCATTCTCATTTGTATGTCGAGGGGAGGTGAAGGGGAAGGGCTTATCCTTCCCCACCCCGCCCCTGTGGCTCCCTTTCTTGTGGTTTCCATGGTTGTGGGTTATCCCTCCCGCCCCCTCCTTTGGCCAAGGCCTGGCTTGGGGGGGGGGGGGGGGCATACCATGGGGGGTGGGGGGGGGGGGGCCTGCGACGCGGCGACGCGGCACCATACATGTGGTGCTGTAGGTTCCCTGTGTTTTGATGTATGCGCATGTACAGGAGCACAAGAAGATAGATAAATAGAAAGATAGAGCGAAGGATGCAGAAGAGGCCACGTACTTCGTACACACATCATGTACACTTACACCCATACATTCACACGCAGGAACACAGAGCTGCAAGGTAGGCGCATCCCCCCCTCCCCCCCGGTACCAGCCTTCTGCATGTGGAAGGGGTCGCGATCGCCTCGCTAGTCCAATTTCGGAATTTGGTTTAGGACCGTCTAGGATTTGGAGACTAAGCCACTCGAACCCTCCAAGTCCACCCTAGACCCGAGATTCCCAGACTCGGCCCGAGGATCCATGTTTTAAGAAAACTTCGCACCTCTAGACTATACCCCTCTTAGAACCATAATAAAGTAATTGCTTTTTATATTCTCTTGCAATGATTTTATATGAACAGCAATAAAGCATAGTTCCAACGGAGACTAAAGTAGAGGAGTACCGGAGTGCCCCTACCCGTGCGGCTTCAAATCTGCTGCGACCGGCAAGCATATGTCTTTGCTGCATGCCTGCATCAGCGTCAATGGATGATGTAGGGGCCTTAACAACTAGAATAGGATTTTGGGGCCCATTATACTAACCTCGGAGCTGAACAAGGCAACCCACTTCCGGCAATCCTTCGTTAAACCTGCATTCCGACACAAGCCCAAATCCTGAACACCAAAAAACCAGCATTCCCGAACCCCTCCTAACCCTCAGCCCGCCTTTCAAGATCTTCTCCGTGACCAAGGATGCCAGGGCCGACACCGTGGCAGAGCCTCGATAATGCCAGCAAATTTTGGGGTGCTTGGGGTTTGGAGGGTCTGCAGTACCAAGTTGTACCAAGCCCTGTGGCCAAAGGATTCTCAGACCTTTGGGTTTCATGTATGCAAATGAGCAAATGGTTTGGAGTTGATAGCCGTCAGTCGTCAGATGCATCTTCGCAGAAGGGCCAAGGGAGCTGAGGCTTAAGGACTGGTGGGACTAAACCCTAAACCCTAAACCCTAGCTTCGAGTGTTGCAACTCCAAGCAAGGCAAGCTTCGCCGAGCCCTGGACAAGCCGCTGGTAACTTATCACTTCTCACTTACTTACATGGGTGGTTGTCAAAATTAGGTTCCCTTTTTGGGTCCTTATTATAATACGGCACCTAATATTTAGGGTACCCAAAAAGGGACCATAATTTTGATAACCACCCACATGATAACCAGACTTGAATCATGAGGCGAACACATCCAGACCCAAATGTAGTCCAAACCCAGATCAACCTAGATCCTCCACTCTTATGCCCTTCAGCCTCAACACCAGCCAGCACATCGCCGGTGCACCGCTAGATCCAGCCCAAAGCCGAGCAAAGCCCAACCTTGAACCGCTAAAGTACAATGCCCTGGGCTCTAGATCGCAAACAACAGATTACAAAATCAGATAGTGTGGTATAGTATAGTATAATATCGTATCTATCATATCATATAGTACGAAGGATAACCCAGTATAATCTACATCCTGGATCCCAAACCCTTTGCAACTGGTTCTCCAAACACCGAACGGAATCGAAACCCCAAAGCCCTGAACCCAAATCCCTGTATCCCAAACCCGAAACCCAGAAACTCTCCCATGCTTCCCGGCCCAAAACGACTGCCATGGCAGCCATGGGAGCCGGTGGCGCTGTCTCCCCCACGGGGTAGGCCTGTCGGGTTTCCGAAATAAAGCAAAAGAGAGTGAAATAAAGGCTCTTTGTAAATATATACATAGATAAATACATATATGCATAGATAAATACGGCTCTGGGGTTTGATTCTGAGGATGATGGGATTTAGGTAGGGTGGGGTGGTGTAGAAGATAATTTGCTGCCAGCGGTGGGTCCTGGAAGATCGCGCAGTCGGGCGCAAAAGTCCGCACACTCATGATGTTCGTGTGTGCAGCTGCGCGACGCAGGTCATTCACCCAATTCGATAAGGAGGATTTAATCGGATTCGCTTTAATTCTGATGCATATGGAAATCTTGCTTGACTCCGGCGTCTGTGGCACAACTACGGCGATTGTTTCCTTCTCCGGGTCGCAAGTTGAGTGCAACTCAGGACAGCAAAACAGCAACCCGTCCCTACTCCTTGTGGGGTTTGAGCGTAGTTATCCTCAAGTCTCCCAACCCTCAGCGCGTGTGCTGGAAGCTGGCACTCGTGCTTCTCCTTACTCGTGCTTGTCGTACAAACTCGCAAGAGTTCCTACATACCACGGCAGAGGGTGCATAGAATAGCTTTCGTAGAACCAACATTTCATGAATCAAAGCCTGCCTCTCAAAACAGATACCAGTAGCAGAACCCTAAAATATTTAGCGGGTTCACTTTCAAGGGTGCTTTTTCCTGTTGTTTGTGTGCCTTGGCATGCCCTTCTCCTTCGCACGGCCCTTCCACCACATGGAAAACACCGCCCTGCGCGAGGTTTTCGCCTTGTTGCATGTGTTCCACTCTTGGTAGCCGAGTGTTTTGTCTGATTCGCGCTATCTTTGTTTTTTTGCACCCAAAACGACGTCACGGTTGGTAGTACATTTTGGGTTGCGAATTCGTCCAAGCATCGAAAAACGTGGCCTGCGTGTTGTATTCCTGACTTTCTGAAGGCATGTTTTTGGATGCCTGCCGCTTTGCTTTTTCTGCGTTTTTTCGTCGGTGTTGTTTTCCGTCATGTGCTCTGGGGGGCTGGGGGGGGTGGGGGGGGGGAGTAATGACGTTCTATCCTAAACTCAACCACAAACGACCAACACGCAACGAACGACGAGATAAGCGAACACAAAAATCAAGCCGACAGCCAAGGGTTTGGCATGTTCGCTACTTTCGTAGTAACGCCGTTTGCAAGGACAGGACGCTGAACAACATGCTGAAAAACCAATTATCGATCCTTACCGGAACTGTGACAGGAACGCTTACCGCAAAGTCGCAAGCCCTGCATCCCTCCTTGCCTACAGCTTGAACTCCAAACAACTGCATTAATTAGGGCTTTGGGTTTAGGCTTTTGTGGTTAGGCCGCCGCCACCATCATCAACAACAACACCATCAGACCCATCGTCTCATCATCAACATCATCAGCATCAGCATCGTCATCATCATTGCCGGCATCACCATCATCATCATCACCACCATCATCATCATTACACGCCACGTGCATTACATACAACTCAGCAATAGCAATCCCCAGAACAACCAGTTATCACTACACACGAAACAAGGTCACGATACATACTATCCCAAACCCTTGCCCATAAACGTTTTTTCCCAGTACCTAAAATACACAGAACCCAGAAACAACCGATACAAACCACCTTTGAAAGTGAACCCGCAGGGTAAAATATGCAACACCGACCTTCCGAACAGAACCAGGCCCTGCAAGAACGGCATAGAAATGAAGCTGAGGGGATTCAGATCAATCCGCCCGCCCATTCCGCAAACCTTCCGCCCACCTTCCCTTCCAAGGCTCAGATTTGCAAACTTGCAAAGACCTAAACTTCTGTAGGCTTCAGGCCCTAGAGCCCCGGGCTCTCAACGCCAGAGCTAGGACAGGTCTGAACACTTACCAATACTATTCCTCAGGCTAACCGCCCCTATACTCCCAAGATCTCCCAAGGCGTAGGTCCGTAGGTTTTTGGAGCCCGAGGCGGCCTGAAGGTAGCCAAAGGCGGCCGAGGAGAGAGTCAAGATGATCAGGGCCAGCCTCAGACCGGGTTTCGGGCTCCGGCCGCGAGCCGGGTGGGCTGTTTATGCCAGGATTTCAGGGCAAAATACCCACAGCTAAGACTAGGGGCTGGGGCGACGAGGGCAGCCATCCGACGGTCCTTTGTTGATAACTTGGGCATGCACCTGGAGCCTGAAATTAAGCGGAGGTTCTGAGGAAAAGTGCCGATACTACTACCATGCCCGAGGCCTGAAAACGCCAGCTTCTGAATGCTCGCTCGACTGACCGAGATGCCAGCTTGAGGTTCTCTCAGAAGCAAAAAACCACCAGAAGAATTCGGAGCCCCCTAACCGAAGAGTCCCAACTTGAATGACAGCAGCCTAGACAGTTGGAACAGGGTCTCTTCGCCGACTTCCTTGTGGTGGCTTCGCTTGCATTAAGTTCATACAGGACTTCAGCACTACTTGTTCCGGCTCGTACTTTTTTCTATATGCACCCCAATGAAACATGTGGAAGGAAACCTCAAGCAGCTGGGTGTTGGACCACTCAAGAGGCATGTAGAACTTGCCCATGATATAACCTGGCCGACTGGCCGTCGGAGGGCGAAAGACCCAAACTAATCGCTCAATAATAGTAGTAGTAATAATAATAATTGTAATAATAATAACAGTATCCTTAATAATAACGAATATAATAATAATACTCATAATAATAAAATAGTCTATGTATGAACATCTGCGCCTGGAGAAAATACGAGCTTCCTTCCAGTGACATACCCAGACAACTCTGACTTTTCTGTAAAGGAGCACTTAGAGTCTTAGAGGATCCCCAACAGGAGCCCTCAAAGGATCCCTAAAAGAAGTCGGTTGACCCCGATCCGGCAGAACCCAAGCATGCCGCAGAGGACGGGCACAAAAGGCTGCCACAGGAGTGTAGAATTTTCCCAGGACCTGGGAGGCCAGGGAGCCGGAAACTTAGGCGGCCCTGAGATGATCCGGGTGGCAGAAATCATCTCTGCCCTTGCATAATTTGAATATTCCGAAATCCAAAGTTCCGATCAAGGGGCTGCCCGAACAGCACGAGCATGTCGCACAACTGCCAGAAACCCGGGATGATGGATTTCTAAATCAGGAATTGGAATGGTAGTCAGACTAGAAGACGTCGTTATGGTTGCGCATCGGCACTGCTCCATGTAGGCTGCTACTCATGCAACTGCTCCTGCCACTAGCTTCCACTACGAGAGGAGGGGGGCACTTGCCCAGAAAGACAGCGCACCACGGCTGACTCTCAAGTTCGGCCAAAAACCTAAAGCAGCGTAGCAAATGCAGTCGCGCAGTCAAGGTACAGATCCGAAACCCTCACTTCAACACATTTGAAACCTCAAGACTGGGGCGTCAACCAAGTAGAGGGCTGGACTGATGCCCATGGCGAAGCCCTGCGAGGAGTCCAGCAGTGGTACCATTTTGGGGCTCGAATATGGAAACAAGGGATTGAAACAGGGTTGAGGGTTGAGATGGCTTCAGGGTTGACTTAGGAATGCCATGCCTGTTAAGAAGGCTCTTACTTCATAGGAGGTGGTGCAAAAAGGGGCTCTGTCCCTTCAGCAGCTTTGTGGGGCCTTTCTGAACCCAGCTTATGCTCTCCTAAACCTAGAAAACCGAAGTTTCGTAGTGCACTTCTTTCACACCTAGATGTGCTCGCAATACCGTGACAGTGAATGAAGCCCCTGGCAAAATCTTCGGAAACTGCCCAAGCCATAGGATTCTGGGGGCCCCGGCCAAATTGCCCAGGGTGGTCGCCTCGGCGGCTCCACGTGAGCGTGGGCAGGTTTCAAAAGCTATGTGGCTGAGTTGCGTATTTCAGGATCGGTATCGGCCCTCTCGGGCCAAAAGCCCTGAACCTGCGGCCGAAAGTCAAGATCCTAAAATCCAGAATCCCGCAAACCCGGAAGAACCCGAAACTCTAAAGCTAAACCCTCTGCATCAACACCGTGAATCCTCCTTGTGCTACTAGACCATCTGATCCGAAGTCCTAAACCACCCCACAACACACCTTGCCGAAATCCCTAAACCCTAAACCCTAATCCCTAAACCCTAAACCCTAAACCCTAAATCCTAAGCCCTAAACCCTACCCGAAGATCCGGCTGGATGCTTCGGACCAAAGCAAAGAAACCAAACCAAAACCCCAAATCGTCGACCCGTGAGTCTGGATACTTTGAACCTCGGCCTGCTAAAGGGGCCTAAATAGTTACCGATACTACTTTAAGGGCTGCCTCACTATAATTATAGTATAATGGTCCCCCAAACCCTACTTTAATTATTTAGACCCCTATATTAGGCCCCCTAATTTCGTCACAGCTGCCAAGGCAAAGAGGAAGGCAGCGGGCAAACAACGCCTCGGGATCTGGGCTCTGCGGGGGGCGGTCCATGTTTCTAGTTCATGATTGGGATAGTCGGATAGTGGCTCAAGGGAGAGTCGGAGCTGGAGGACTTCCGAGTTCAGGGCGCTAAGGAACTTTGGATACTGAAAGGTTTTGGGGTACGTATATTACTATAACTGTAATAAGGAGCCCCTAAGTAGTACAGGCAATCTTAAAGGTCCCTACAGTAGGTGATTATTGTGGGTTCGACCTTTGAGGTTCGTGTATACCTGGAAGTCTGGAGGTGCGTCGCACGGACTTGGTCTGACAGCAAATTGGAAACACAAGTCCAACAACTTCCAGTCCGTAATTGGGACCACTCTTGTTGTTCAAAATATTGCTGCGTCTCGTTGCTGATGCTTGCCCAGCACGACGACCACGACAACGACGACGACTACTGCTACGGCGGCTACGGCTACTGCAACTGCGACCGCTACCGCTTCTTGTACTACACGCCTGCTACTACAACGAGTACCACCACCGACACTCCGATTTTGGTATTGTTGCTACCTGCTTCCAAACCCCGACTTCATAGGCTGACGCTGACCGCATATGTGGACAGAGCATCTGGTTTCTGGTCGGGGCTGTTCAGGTTTTCGGGGTCCGAGGTCCAAAAAGACCGACAGTCTTCACCCCACCCTACTCCTTCGGACATCGAATCTAGCTGCCGAATCCAACGGCCCCGAGATGCTGGAAAGGATCGGTCGGAAGCCCAACCTACCCCAAACGCCTATATATGGAGGGGAAAGCTAAGCTTACAGCACGGACCTGAAACTGCACGTGCAACATGCCGTGTTTGCCCTTCATTGGCTTGATCTTTGCAAAGCAAGCCAATGAAGCTGGACCGAGCCAGCAGCATTCGTGACAGGCTCAGAAATGCCGCTTTGCGGCTGCGCATTGAAAGTTGTCCAGCGCACCGAGTCATGGCACTTGTGGGGATGGATGCTGTCTTTTTCGGCTTTTGAATGATACTAGTACTTGCAATACCGCTAGCCACCATTCCATGGCGTTCCTGTTTTGCGCTTCTGGGCTTTAGCCGCGCGTAAAGAGCAGTCGCCCGCTTCAGGCGCAAGTCAGAAGGAGATCGCCAATAAGAGCCTGGTGCAATACCGGGTATCTCATGGGAGGCTCTGACAAGCCGGGTGCAGGGTCTAGGGAAGTGGTTCTGGTGCAAAGGTCACGGGTTTTTAATTGCAGAGGTTTGCTGCAGCATCTCGATCCTCCGGCGGTTAGTAAGTGGTGGTGCTGGTGGTGGTGGTGGTGGTGGTGGTGGTGGTGGTGGTGGCGACCATGTAGTACACTGTTTTGTAGCAAGGGGATTACTGCCCTGTCGCATGTTTTGACACGTCGAGGTATACCGCAACAGCACTGGTCACGCCTAAATCAAACCGCTCAAAGCTCCAAGTTACCGAAGTGCTGTCCGAATCTGAACACCCAGGAGAAATCCAGCTGCGAGCCGAAATACACGCATCTTCTGTTACATAATCTGCGGGCATGGGTCGGGATCCTACAGTGCAGCTGTACCCATAAAAAACCCATAGTGATCTAGCGATAGGCCGAAACAAAAACAGCGACTCCCAAACTCCGGAGTCTACAGCTTCGTTCACACAAATGGCTTATGTTCTGATCTTGGAAGGATCGTAACTATCACAGAAGCCCAGCAGTTTAGCCTCTGCATACCTAGACCTTACCGGGCCCGACCGTAATCCCCAAACATCGCCAAGCCCAGTGGCGGAAGCACCACCACCCGTCCGAATGTGACGAGCTTCGTGGCTCCTCCCGAACTCTCGGACTCTCGCGCTTCGACTGAGGACCCGCCCAACTTTTTCGAAGCGGGTAGAGTCCGGATAGAAGCTGCCAGAATTTCAGGCTCATGCTTGGGCATTTCAATGTAATTGCCCGGGGTGCAGGGGTATCGGCTCTCATTGGGGGTTTATAGGAGTCAGAGGCCCTTTGACCACTGAAGCACGGGGCCCCGGTAAACGAAACTTTAATGGTTTTACGCACTGTTCGGTTTCGATTCAGGCTTCTTGGCTACCGCCGACACCCCCGAATGGTCGAACTTCAGGGGTTATGTACTCCCGTGCTGGAAATGCTTGCCACAACGTCCTCGACACAAATCCCAATCCCAAGGACGGTTGGTTGTCCAAAACCTAAACAGTAGAACCGTGCTGGTCTTGAATGAACCTCGAAGCCTTCATTGATCCTCAGCCGGAACCCTAGAATCTGATTCAAGAAACCTTTGTCACACCCCCGAGTCCCACTTTTCAGACTGAGCAGCTCGCATAACATGCACCACGGTTGATGATATAAATCCTGCATGACCCATAATAAGGAATATACCATAATATCCATATATTCCTTATATGGGCAATGCAGGATTTATATCATCAACCGCAGGACCGCGAATGAGACAGCGACTCGTCGAGCCCTGAGTCCTAGAGGCCTGGAAGCCTGCAGAGCCCTCAGGAAGGCCCCCCCGCCTGCGTCTGCTTCTTCAATGCAGTCAGGGAGGTGTGGCTTTGCGCCTGATCCAATCCGAAAGCCACAACGGAAACCCAAGTAGAATACCCCGCCCCCCAAAAAAGCCACGAAAAGCAAGATTAACATTGTGGAGGGGCACTTAAAACTGAGAGCAATCTCTACGCCTCAGGTCCACACAAGGAAAATGTGAAGCACACCACAAGACTCTATGAGGGACCCTGCGATTCAGGACTCACGGCTTGGCTGAAAGGAAAAACGTCAAGAGTTCCATTTTCAGAGCGATGTGGAGTCCCTATGGCTTGGAGGCTCCCAAGGCTTGACACGGCCTCGCGCTTCCCGGCCCATGCAAGCCTGCTTTCTCGGGCGTCTTCTCAATCATGTTCAGGATTTCCTGCTTGGAGATGCGAGGCCCCGAGTCTGACACTGTATCAGACCCATCCCCCCCCCCCCCCCCCCCCGGTTCTGAAAACACTGAAAACAAGCCACCGGGGCTTGGAGGTCTTGCTGCTCCTAGTCGGATTTGTAGGGTATGACTGGTGTTGGTCATGCTATTGACAAAAGTGGTGCTTCTGATGACGATGGCAACGATCACGACGACGACGGTGATGTCGACGTCGATGATAAACATGACGTTGATGATGACCGAACATGCAGTCAATCACCAATCTTGGATAGGTTACACCTTGAGGGCCAAGGCTCTAATAATACTGTCTCGGAGGGTGTGGATTCTATAGCACGACGTTTTTTTGAGCAGGCAAGACGTCGACGAGAACGACCGTTTTGCCACCCCTGCCTGCCTGGCTTGAGTTCTTGCTGAGGATGATCTCCTCACAAAGAAAGCCCACTTTTGGAAAGTTCAGGTTGCTTGAAGTCTTTTGATCGGGCTTTGGGCATCATGGCTAAACGGCGTGCGAAGGGGATCTTGAGCAGTTTCGCGCAGAGGTACTGCCATGCATGCTTCACCAAACCGGGGCCATGGTTAGTGCGCCCTGGTCCTTTGCAGCTCATATCTAGGAGGACCGGCTGCTTGCTAAGAACCAAAGAGGGAGCGAGGGATCGACTGTTGCCAATGTGGCTCCTGAATGGGACGAGGCTCTAGCGTTTGTAATCTGGGACCTGTCATCTTTATGGAAGTAGGGCTCTTGGCTCCTACATTCTCAGCCTCTAGGGCCTCTAGTCCTGAAGATCTGTGCGTCTTCCGGGCTTGTCATGAGACCCAGCCTTACGCTGAGAATTCTTGGTGCCGCCGCTCCCCATCTAAGCCCAAGATAGGGCGACGGTTGTTTCTCCGCTAGCCGACCTGCTGCTCCATGCAGATTTGGACCTCTTGCAGGAAGACTTAACAGAAAAGTCCCAGAAATTTCAATCTCGAACTTCAACATCGCCGCACCACCATCCCCTGAAACCCCAGAACTTCCGCAGAGTCGCGCGCAGCCGGTTCTCTGCATCTTCGAGGCGAATCCTCTTTCTGGGATGCCTGGGTGGCAACTCAGAGGCCCGCCGCTTGGCAAGGCCATACAAAAAATAGAACGACTAGACAGCTCAAGCCCCATCGAGGCTCTCACAAGTCCACTTTTCACTGGCTACCCAACCACTACGTAGGAACATGTCCATGTGGGAGTTTCGGAGAGAATAGGGGAACCTTATTTTGGGGTCCTCTTTATAAGGATCCTACAATTTAGGGTACTATGTTAGGGTCCCCTATTTTCGTAAACTCCCATGTATATCAAAACACGGAAGGGTGCCATGGCCCTGTTCGCCCGTACCCAAACCCTGAAATCTGGTCCCCCCCTGCTGACCTACACTACGGAAGGAACAGTTACCGTGACCCGAACATGAAGGCCTTAATATTGTATTATGATGATCATAAGGAACCCCCTCTCCCAAAATAGCACAGGTAATTATTGAGGCTAAACCCTGAACCCTAGGTCTGGCTGGGTCGGGTTTCTTCAGAGACTCACGCTGTTTTTTTTTTGGGGGGGGGGTGGGGTTGGGTCTGGGGTCTTGGAACTTAAAACCCGCGCACACGCAAGACTTGGAAAACACCACCCAGACACCCCAATCAGCCTCCAACTGATGCTTGGTCTCCAGGGGGGGTGGGGGTGGGTCCCGACCATCGGAACGTTCGTGCTTGTTTAAGGTTTGGTTTGAAGTACGCACTTCCCCAACCCGGGACTTCAAGCCTCCCATGGTTTTGAGGGACCAGGAGCCGGAAGTGCTAAAGAACAAATGGCGAATCCGGAGAATTTGCTTAGCTTATCCTCGTCTTCAGGCCCACTCTCCTTGTCCTCCTCGCCAGCACCATCAGCATCATCACTACCGTCATCAGCAGCAGCAGCAGCAGCAGCAGCAGCTGCGTCAATGTCCGCATCAAAGTGTCCGTTCTTCTTTCTTGGTTGTAAAGGACCGTAATCAGCATCAGACGCACATCACCATCATCACCGCCATCAGCTTCACTACCAGAATCTTCACCGCCATCATCGCAAGTCGCATCATTGTTAGCATGACCTTCATGGTCAATGCGATCACTAGAAGCAGCAGGATGATGATGTCTCGCGAACATGGTGTAGCCGCTCTGCATGATACAATCATTGTTCGAGGCTCCCGAACACACTAGGTGCCCACCAAGCTACGTTGCTACATGCCTGCCTACGTCGTGTACACTGTAATTTTCGCTCATGTCATCATCAACTACATCACTGAACGTACTAATGCACCATGCGTATGTACGCACGTACATAGATACGTGCATGCATTTATGCGTGCATATATACATGCACGCACGTATGAACACAATCGCATGTATATGTATGGGACATCAGAAGAAGAGGGGTCACATGTCGGCAGAATGCAGCAGCCGGGGCACGGCTCCAGCATTCTTGTGATCAGCTTGACCAGGGACTGCTGGGAGAAAGGCCTCTGCTCTTGGCAACTGTGGCAATGGCAGGGGCAGGTATGGGAATGCTGAACACCTAGCCTCAAGTCGTGCTCGCATTCGCACAAAAAGTGCCCCTGGTGACTCCCTCAGGCCAGCTAGAACCGCATACGAATCTGAGCCAGGCTTGGGGCTCATGGTTCCAGGCTTAGTGTGTGGGGTTCATGATCGGATACCTGATGGCTGCCTGGCTGGATGCGCTGGACTTTGGCAGGCCAATGCTTTCACGTTGCGCTTCCAGACACTACATTACATATGGGAGCATGGTCTTGGGGCAGCTTCTATGAATCTGAATCATATAATTGCGAACTTTCGACTCCATCCAGAGCCCAAGACCCCCACGAAGGTGAGGACTTGGTACTGAATCAAAGGTTTATACGGACATGACCTACCCAAAACTATCGATTACTCGATTACTTTCTGAGACTTCCCTCTCAAGCCTCTAAAAGCTAAACCGCTGAAGCCGAAACCCCAATGCCCAATGCAAACACCCTCGATCCGGAAACTCTAAACCGGAAACGGGGACGGAACCTCAAACCCAACCATAACAGAAGACCTGTGGTAAGGATTTAGGATTTGGGGGATTAGGATTTCCGAGCCTGCACTTAGCATGGTTCCTGGGGTGCACCAACTTTTGCCGACCTGGCTGGTCCTCCTCTGCCAAACGGGAGCCGCCCCCATCAACAAAAAAACTCCAGAATCTAAAGCCCGAAGCTCCGCAAGCGATGTCCTGATCACCTAGATCCGACTACGCTCTTCTATTTTTTCGTATTGTTTATAAGTAGCATTGTTAGTATTATTGTTCTTCTTACTACTGCCAAAGGGGCCTGTGCAGCTTCGGATCCTCCTCCGCATGGTAAGCCGTTGTCAAAGAACCTTCGGCGAAGAGACGACCAACGCCCACAGGGTCGGCAAGGGGTTCGTGGCTCTCTGCATCTTTGCATGGCTTAGGAGTTGAGTGCTTACGACTGAAACCTGCTAACTTCCTTCAAGGTATGCAAGTAGGATGCTGCCCTTGGTATTCGGAGCCCAGTGTAAAATTCATTCCAGCTTCGGGCCTAAACCCCAAAACCCCTCGGCCCCTCGACCCTAAGCTCTAAACCTCCAACTCCCCAAGCCTGCCAGAACCCCCTAATCCTCTTAACCCCTGGCCCTAAACCTTAAGTCCAAAGCCTCAAAGCTTCACCTGGCCTGGGCCATGGTGGCTTTAAGACTCCCGGCATTGCTATGCGTGTTAGGGCTCCTGGGCGCAGCAATTTCCTGCTCAGATCCAGGCTCAAGTCGGCATAGACTGGTTCATTTGGAGTGCATAGGATTGCTCTCAGGGTTTAGGGTTAGTACATAGGAGGGTTACGATGGCTAAAGTACCGGCATGAAGGCCCCTGTGGCTATGGAAGGTTTGAGGCACGGCCGTAAACAGGAGTCAAGTTGAAGTCCAGGGAAGCTCTGTCCAAGCGGCCGTCCTCATCGTTCCCGAAGGGTGGAAGGCTCCCGGTCTCGATCACGTAGAGGATCACCTTGTGGGGTCGACGTCGGTTTTTCAGTACATGGTAGCTTCCGACAATGAGGGGTACTTTATTTTGGGGGTCCTTATAATAAGGATCCTTGCTGGAGCGAACCAGCAGGTTGAGAGGTAGACACAAGTGGAGTAGCTAATTCCCTTGTCCCATACTCCCCAGAACCCGGCATGGCTCACTCAGAGGCGGAGATTTTACACGCAAGCAAAAGACTGAAGTTAGTGCTACGTTGGGCGTGGCACCTACAACTATGGTACATGTGCTCTGTTTAAAGATGTTAAAAGCATGCTCAAGGCTTTCTGTGCTTGGGCCTACGAGCAAGAAGGAAAACCACGTCACATGTACATATGGCATGAGCTGCACAGGAAGCATGCACTTCAGCACTCCTCCTTCGCAGCCCCGCCAGGGAGTTGCGACCTACTTGCTACTGCAGGTCCAACCCGTCAGGGTGACGACACACCTACCCTGAACTACCTGGCAAAAGCTGGGCCAACTGCCCTCAGTATGCGAGGGCTCTCAAGGCACCTCGTGTGGAAAAAAGACACAGCTACGGATGAGCTCACTGAGAGATCCAACCCGCTAGGGTGGAGTAGTTCCTACCCTGTGCTGTGCTGGGTGTGGTCTGCAGCGCTCCTGTGGCACTGCTGGCACACTTGAAACTCAACAAACCTGTGCGAGTGGGCGAGCGTGGAACAGGTCTTGGTGCGGTGGAGCTTGGTCCCTTCGGGTGTTGCAAAGTAAGGCGTTGGTGCTCCACCTGCCTGCTCACGCGTGCGAGTTGTTTGTGAGGGGCGGCGTCTGGGCGCTGCAGCAACAGACTGCGAGCTTGCTGCCTCTTCACGGGCAGAGATCTCGGCCTGGATGGCCTGCGCAGTTGATCTCGAAGGCGCTGTAACTTGCGCGCCTTGCGGGGGGTCAGAGACAACACGGGTGTCCCTGCCTCTCGGCGGGAGATGACGCCTTGAAGGCACCACTTGAAGAACTCCCACACTGCAATGAAGCAGATACCAATGCAGATGATGGATACTGCCAACATCAAATCTGCATCAAGCGACACGGGGAGAGACAAGTCTTCTTCCTCGTCCGTTGTCTGGCTGGCAGCACCTACGACCTGAAAGAAGGCGAGCAGGACAGCAAAGGCACTCAGCTGCAGGTCTTGCTGCGCCACTGTCCCAGTGCCCACAGCTTGAGATTCACTGTAGGCCTGAGCTTCCGCCCGGCGAGGTACGCCATGCTCAAGCAAACCCCAGATGGCTGCGAGTTCAAGGATCCTCGCAGATGGCGGTGCTTTCGTCAGAAGATCTGCGGCCTGCTCAACGCCTGGGCAGTAGACAGGGATGATCTCACCAGACTCATACTGCTCTCGAAGGTAGTTGGCGCGCACCCTTAGGTGGCGGGTTCGCCAAGACCCTTGGCCAATAGCGATGGCCAGTGCAGACTGTGAGTCAACCCTCAAAGTCTTGTCGAAGCTAGAAACTCCGAACTCACTCAGCATGGCCTCTGCTGACTGAAGGGCAACTACAGCGTCAAGTCCAGCAACAAGCTCGGCCTGCGGTGCTGAGGGTGACAAAAGACTGTCGTGCTGAACGCCAGCACACCGGCGACCCGTGAAGGAAAACCACCCACCCCGTGTGAGACCGATTCCCTTCTGGTGCGTAGCTGGCATCACTGTACGTGATCAAGCCTGTGTCATCCGCGTCAGCGGTGAGGGATAGCGCCTTGGTACGCTGCACATACGCAAGGGCCTTTTCTGCAATGCGGATGGCTCGTTGCGGCGCCTTCGTGCTGAGAGAGGCGAGCACACAAGCAGTGAAAGCTAAGTCAGGCCGGGTGCGCTGGCTCAGCCACAGGATTTCTCAAGTCAGTCTCTGCGCTGTTCGAACGGTCTCCTCGGTTGGGGACTCGTCCGTCAGGAGAGTGTCAAACGAAACAAGGTCACGCGGACAGGGGACCTTACCTAGTGCAGTGGGCTTCACATCGTTGAGACGCAGCAGCTCTTCGGCGTAAGCCTGCTGGGACAACACAAACCCGGAACCTTGCACTAGAATTTCAACCCCTAAAAACCTCAGCGGGTGCTCTGCGGTGGCAAGTGCGAGAGGCGTCGTTTTCCAGATGCCCTGGATGGCCGTAGCCAAGGCTTCGATCACCTCTTTACTGCCTGCAAGCAAAAAAAGTCAACGTAAGTGAGCAAGCCTCCTACGACTACCCCGTCAGAGGTGCGAACAACACGCCACCAGTTTGGGTCCAACCTTCCTTGCTGGAGCTGCAGCTCAACTCCGTCAACAACACACCTCAGCGCCCGAAGTTGGCAGTCCCTGAAGTCCGACCAAAGCTTAGGCGACTCCCTCAACCCGTACACAGCGTGCGTGAGGATCCAAAGCTCCCCTTCCTCTGCCAAACCTAGTCTCACTAGCAACCTAGGCGGCGTGAGAGCAAACACTGGAAAACCTCTGCCTTGCGGGATTGGGGTCAACAGAAAAGCTGAGGTGACATCAAGAGACCCGATGCACCAATTCCTCTTGGAGCTGATGATTACAAAACAACGGAGTGTCTCTGCAGCAGCGACCAAGCGAGCCTTGCGTTTGTGGTAAGCTTGACCCTTCCGGGTAGCGAGGGCAGCGTCACCCTCAGAAGGGTCTGGTGGCTTGACTGTGAACACAAACTTAGACGGAACCACCTTCACTTCCTTACGCCTTAGCCAACCTCCCGAACGAACCTCTGCAGGAGGCAGTCGCTGCACAGCCTTCTCAATGACACCGATCTCTTTGTGAATGGACGGCATCCACTTCTCGATGCATTGCTCTGCATCCCGAGGGTCTACTGTGTGGACTACCTGCAGTGGTTCTTGCAACCCGTCAAGCAACAGCTCCACGTTGGTAGTGTAAACCGGCTCAGACTTGCAAAGGGCGCAAGCTTCACTCGCGTCCGAGTCGTCAGACCTGAGAACACACAGCTGCTCACCTGTCTGCGGGTCTGGAACCCACAACTCCCACCGCACTGGTTGCTCCGGCAAGGAGTCTTCGCTTAAGCCCGCCTCCTCCTCAACCTGTGTCTCGGTGTCTGGTTTGCAAACCAGCAGGGCGTGCTCAGACTGGGGTCGCCTTTGGTCCGGCGAGTGTTTCAGGTTCCACGACACCTCCAGCTCTACAGTACCTGCTTCTACGGCTTGGGTTTCTTTCCAACCTCCGCCTTTAAGCACAGTCCCAGGCGCCAACTCCGAAGTCTTCCCGTCAGGGTGACGTGCCTTTGTCTCCTGAAGGGGCTCTTCTTCGAAGCAGTCAAACGCATCTAGACGTCTCGCGTCTTGCGGCTCAGTCAGCGGTAAACGTACCGACGCTGGGGGTGGAAAACCTAAAGCTTCAAGGCTTTGAAACTCGTGCTCAAGCTCTTTGCCTAACGTGTTGACAGTGTAGCCGACAAGCACTGCTCTCTCACCCTTCCAGGGAGTGGTGGCGTGGCGGCGAGTAGGGTCTAGGAAGAAAGGCTTACCGCGCTCTAACTTGTGAGTTGTCCCTAACCAGCGACTGCCTTTGCCGTCTACCCGCTCCTCTACAGGGCCACTGACTAGGTCACCAGGCTTGAGTTCTATCCACAAATCCCCTCCGTTAAGCGGGAGCTTCAAAGGGAGGACTACATTTGTGGATCCCTGCAGGTTGTGGTGGTCGGCGTGCACGGGTTGAACACTGGAGTTAGACAACCAAAGCGAGGTGTACTCAGCTGTGGGTGCAACTGCGGAAAGCACCATATTCATAAGCTCTGTCAGCCAAGGCTTATCTGTGGTACCCCCTAAAACTCCTATGACACCTCCGTGACGGTACAACCCAGCTTTGTTGCTGCTCTGCACATTTCGGCTAACACCCACAACGCTTCATCAAGGTCCCAGTCGTCCTCGATAAGCTCCGTAGCTAAACCTTCAAGGTCTTGCAGACTCAAGCGCGCTACACGGGCAGACTCCTCCTCAACCGGTGACACAGGCCCTTCCAGGTGTGGAGCTTCTGCTGGCGGCGGCAAGGGAGGCGGCGGGTCAAGTGCAAAGACGTCGTCAAGTCTCACACCAGCAGACCGCTTGCCGCGAACCCTGCGTGGAGGTGGTGTGTGCTCCTCCTCAAGCGAGTCTCCTACAAACTGCAAGGGCGGTGGATCCGGAGAAACAAGGCGGGTGCGAATATGGAGTGTTTGCACAAAGCCGTTGCCAACACCATCGCTGCGCAACACGATGTGACCATCATTCACAGATGGTGACAACCCCATATACTTACCTTCAACCCATCTATCCTCCAAATCACCTTTCTTGCTAAAAAACTTTCGCTTCACGGAACACTTCCCTCCAAAATGGATGGCAAGCTTGGACTTCATGCCCAGCTGCTGCGCCCGTTGCTGAGCCGCAGCTGTCATGATTGCACAAGGCCACAAGGACGAGTCGACCTCGCCAGAGGTGAGAAGGGTTCGTGCTCGTGCTTTGAGCCAGCGCACGGTGTTCTCAGCAGAGCCGTTCTGCTACGGGACGTCCCCTTCTGTTGTTGTCGTGCGGACTCCACGCTCGTGAAACCAAGCTCGAGTCCTTTTGTTGAAGAACTCACGACTGCGGTCTGTGTGGAAACGAAGCACGGGGAGGTTTAGGGACCTTAGGGAAATGTACACTTGTTGGAGAGCATTTAGGATATCATCACCCTTGTTTGTGTGAAGTGGCACTGCAAACACCAGCCTCGCCATGTCAGGCGGTGTTTCGAGTTCACACCTGGCTGACTCCCAGGGATGCTCCTCGGCAACTTTGGCTGCAAACTCCCTAGGCCCTTCAACTCCTTCATCATCCGTCCCTCCCGGGAGGAGTGCTGCATCATCAAACCCATCGGCTTGGGTAGGGTCTGACTCCTCCTTCACTCCTTTGAGCCGGGGAAAGCGGTACGACACAGCGAGGAAGTACTTGAACGTTGCTGGTCGGTGGTTGCGGCTTTCTGGGTCCTTGCCCTTCACACGGATGGGCCCCACAATGTCGGCTG